TGGTGATGGGAAAGAAAAACAAAACAAAGCAAAACAAAATCTAGTAAAAAGAGTAAAGACTTTGAAGGAAATAGTTCTTCAACAAAATGTGCCCCCAAACCGACATGCAGCTGATTCCTACAGGGAAGGTTCCTACAGCTGATTCCTACAGCACCACTGCTTCCCGGGACAGTTAGGTACACGTGTTAAGGAACTCGTCAAGAGCCATGAGAATTCCACTTGGAAACCTTCCGACTTAGCATTTCTCCTAAGAACTTCATTTTCCTGGGCAGTTATAACAAAAGGTTGTTTTGCAGTTTTATAATATGAGTATTATTTATTCCTGTCAGAAATACACTACCCAGGAAACCTAATGTTCTTCTTAAGCCCCTTATAAACATCAGCTGCAGGCCATGTAGACTTCATTGACACCCTTTGGGTTATGGGAGAAGAGCTGGGCATGCGTGTTTTGCCTCACAGTTTGTTCGGCTGGGTCCTGAAATACCAAAAGGGATTTTTTTTTTTTTTTTTTCCATCTGTAGCCCAGTACACATTTTTGTGAACCTAAAAGAATTATTTTTTTTTTCTTAGTTGAGATTCATATTTGTCATCAGAACTCCTGATGACATAGTGGTTAAGTGTGCCGCTGCTAACCAAAAGGTCAGTGGTTCAAACCCAGCAGGCACTCCGCAGGGCAAAGCGGTGGCAGTCTGCTCTGGTAAAGATAACAGCCTGTTACCCATGAGTATGTTACTGCACAAGCTGGTGAAGGGCTGCTGAATGGTACCATCACTCCCCTGCTTCCTAAGGAAAAATAGGAGGCCCAGTGAATTTAATTTCTCAAGTATAAGGTAGTTCAAAGGAAGCTAAATTAAGGTTTTATTTTCTTAACATAAAATTAAAGAGAAGCATCAAATCTGTCAACTACTTAGTTCACTGTGTCTAGGGAACATTGCCACCATGAATTGGAATCAACTTCTGAGCAACTGGGTTTGTTTTAGGGACACCGTGCATAGGGCTGAAGACAGACAGCAACCAGGAGCCTGCTCTGGACATAGGACCACTGGCCCTTGGAGATCCCAGGGAGTGGCACTCACACAGTCCCGCTTCCCAATAATCATGTCTCTACTTAATTCTTAGGAAAGAAAGGGCATGGAAGAGACTCCTCAGGACACAAAATCAAATCTCAGAAAAAATGATCTTAATTTTGAAGTGCTGGTTAAGCTGGTAAGGGGATTACAACATGATACACACTTTTATTTATTTTGCTCCTGACAGTGACATTTCAGCCTTTATTATGGGCAGTTTTCATTTTTCCTTGAAAGTTTCCCTCAGGCCTGATGTGAGGGGCTACTTGGTGATGCTGGGGACGAGCTAGGAGCTCTGGTGGCACAGTGGTTAAAGCATTTGGCTGCTAACCAAAAGGTCAGCAGTTCGAACCCAGCAGCTACTCAGTGAGAGAAAGATGAAGCAGTCTGCTTCTGTAAAGATTTACAGCCTTGGAAACCCTATGGGGCAGTTCTACTCTGTCCTATTAGGTTGCTATGAGTTGGAATCGACTCAACTGCGGTGAGTTTGGGTGGGGACATCCACTAGTCAGCAGGGCCCTCCAGAGTTGCCTTGTCAAGCTTCCCTTCAACACTGGGTTACAAACCAGAGAGGGAACCTCAGTGTAACTGCTCGACCAGAGCTTTCCATTTCTTTACCTCCTTCAACTTTCAAGCTTCTTGAGGTTGTAACCTAGGAAGAGTGGTTATGCTTTTCCTATGAGCTCCCAATGCTTTCCTATAGGAGAGAAAGCTCCAGACGGACTCAGCAGGAAAGAGAACTAGAGTTGTCAGAGAACTCTTACAGAGTGAGAGGAAGTATGTCCAGATGCTGGAAATTGTGAGAGATGTTTATGTAACTCCACTGAAAGCAGCAGTGTCATCAAACAGAGCAATTCTAAGTGCTGCAAACATCCAGATCATTTGCTCTGATATTCTGCGGATTTTAAGCCTCAACAGGTAAACCCCGAATACAGATTTTTAAAAATATTATGTGGAGGAAGGAACCCACATGTGGTTGTTTCAGATTGTGGATGCATGGAGGCTCAGTCATTCCCCACGTCTCTTGGGAACCTTGACCTTCTTACAGAGACAAGGGGATCATCACCACATCACTCCTCAGGCTGAGACCAGCAATGTTGGTTCTCAGGAGCTTACCTTTTCCCCAACTCACAGCTCTGGTAACAGGAATGGTGTTCAGTGCCTGTGGGCTCTGGAGCCAGTATACCAGACACGCAAAAGACAAAGGCAAGGAGACCTGTATAGAGCTGTTCTTCATCGGCAGTGTTTAGCTGAGTGATCAGAAAGAAACAGAACCGATTTTTAATGGGATTAAGTCATGGGGGTCTTTGCTTGGAGAACCCAAGGCTGGGAGTTAATAACATCGTATGTTTTGAGTATTTTAACATGAGAAAAAAAAAAGTGATTATTTCTTTTGGGGGTAAAATGAGGCAAATTGAGCTTGCATTTCTTTGGCAGTAACTAGCTAGGCAATTTGGAACAAGCTCCTTACCCTGTTGGGGCTCCAATTTCTACCAAATGAAGAGCTTGAACTGGTATTCTTCCTGCTTTCAAGGCCTATGATCGCTGCATGAGGATTATTTTAGATCCAACAGGGAAAATTGGCCCAGTGAGGGTCATGGCATTTAGCAATTAAAATAAATTGAGCACTCTCTTCTGAGGACTGCAATAAATCTTTACCCACCTGTCTGTCTGGCAGCATGGGAAAGGAATGTTCCAGACAGTCTTATTGAGAACAGCCTGGATTCTGGGGCTCTATTCTAAGGAGCTCTGGTGGCGCAGTGCCTAAGGCATTTGACTGCTAACCAGAAGGCTGATCCATCACTCACCCTGTGGAAGGAACACTGGGCAATCTACTTCCATAAAGATTTACTGCCTTGTAAACCCAATGGGGGGTCACTATGAATCTGAATTGACTCAATAGCAGTGAGTTTGGTTTTTGGTTTGGTTTATTCTCAGACCTATTCCATCAACTCAAGGAATCCAGGTGAAGAGGCAGGATTCCACCACAGTCAACTGACCGCCTCACTTCCTGGCTTCTCCTTCCCTGTCTTACGTCATGGCTCTGTGCCAAGACAAAAGTTGTGCCATAAATGATGAGGCTGGAAAAGGCTGTGCTGATAGGACTCATTTATGTTTCAAGTGTCTGGGTTGTGACTGGCTAACATTTCATGCTCCTGCTTTTCTGTTATTGCAGACAGTTTCTAGATAACCTGAAAGACAGACTACAGGAATGGGGCCCAGCTCACTGTGTGGGGGAAATATTCCTCAAGTTTGGAAGGCAGTTGAATACATACACCAATTTCTTCAATAACTACTCTGTTGTTCTGAAAACTATTGAGAAGGTAAATGATTGAGTTACCATCCAGTCATGATATTGGACCTTCTGAGCTTGAAAGGAAGTTTTGTGTGCAATCCAAAAACCAAACCAAAACCAAACGCACTGACATCGAGTTGGATCCGACTCAGAGTGACCCCTCCTTGGGTTTCCGAGGCAGTATCACTACGGAAGTAGATTGCCCAACCTTCTTTCTGAGGAGTGGCTGGTGGGTTTGAATCGCCAGGCTTCTGGTTAGCAGTCAAATGCCTTAGGCACTACACTACCAGAGCTCCTGTGCAATCCAAAGCACAAGTGTTAACAGGAAAAGCTTCTTTCCAACTCTCAACTTCCAGGTCTCCTCTGGATACTGTGAGCAGTTTGAGAATAGGAGCCTTGATTTATCTCATTTTGTTCACTAGGGATTAACAGTGCTTGGCACAGAGCAGTACCCAGGGACTGGTTGTTGAACTGAATTAAGCCTCATATAAATTGCCATGCTGTCATCTGCCCCAGGCACCCTGTGGCTCAGCCACAGGAAAATGTTGAACAACTGGGCAGAAACAAAATTGACTCTAATTGCACTCTGCTATTACAATCTTCTGTGACCTTGATGAGTTCAGAGAGCTTACCTGGAAAATGCATTAATGATCCATGTATTTCTTGGAATAAGAAATTCAATTTAGGAAATCTCACTATGAGATTAAAATAAAAAAGGTCTTTGGCTTACACATTCCCTGGAGAGTTAATTCTGGAACATGTGAACACTCTTTCCTGTTGTGATTTAGGTCATTTTTCAGTGTGAGCAGGAATTTGCTACTCCTTCCTGCATCACAGGCGGCCCTGAATGAGATCTCTTCTGATGGTGTAAGATCTCTCTTTCTCCCACTCTCAATTTGTGTCCTGTGACGTGGAATGCTAGAGCACTCTGCCATGTAATTGCTGCTGTGGCCATCTAATTGCACTGGGGCCTTGAAGGGAAAGCCTAGGGTCTGGAAGGCCTCTGAACAATTCCTGACCTTGCACACCTGCACTTTGCAGTGCTCTGCCCACTCCACCCAGGGAAGTTAATCATTGCTGAGGAATGACATTAAGAGTCGCATGAACAAGGTAATTTCATAGAATTGGCTCTGATCTCAAGAATTAGAGGAAAGCATCACAGACCAGAAATAAATAACTTTCTCTTTAAATAAGTGTGTAAAGAGCTACTTGTATTTTCATTGCATATTGGAACCAAATTTTTATAACTATGGATAATAAAAATACTATTTCGTTAGTAAAAGGTTTACATGGAAGTAAGTACTCAATAAATATTATCTATTAATATTATTGAAGTCAGTGAATATTCGACTTGTAGGAATGAGCATTACTGGCATTGCGGCATGTGTCCATTCTGAATAAAAGAAGGTAACTTCATGGGTGATCAAATGGCAATGAATGAATGCATTTAAAAGCGAATATTACATATAGTGGAGCACCTTTATAATGATAGTATGGAAAACATGATTAATAGTGGTATTACAAGTAAATGCTGGTCATAATTTCTTGCTATATGAGGAAGTAACACTGCATGACAGGCACTTTATGTATAATTTTTTTTTCTTTCCATAATCCTGTCAGTTAGGTTCATTAACCCATTTTTCAGATGAGAAAACTGAGGCTCAGAGAAGTAACTTGACAGAGTCACACAGACAATCAATTGTAATTACGATGTAGACCAGTTTGGTTGCAAATTCTGTTCTCATCTGTCTATGCTGGTTAAGTTTAATGAATATGGTGAGGCCTACTGGATGGTGCGAAGAGTTAATTGAAAGGTTGGAGGTTGAAGCCCACCCAGACGTGCCTTGAAAGAAAGGTTTAGCAGTCTACTTCCAAAAATCCAGCCATCACTAACTCTGTGGGTCACAGTTCTCCTCTGACACATGGGGTCACCATGAGTTGGAATTGACTCAAAGGTACTTTTTTTTTAATGGTGTGTATGATTAATACACTATACTTAATATATTAGTAAGATATCAATAGCTCTAATAATACTTATAATATAATATTATATTATATCATAGCTGTTGTCAGATGGATCTTGGCTCAAGGCAAAGAATACCACCAGAAAGATGTTTACTTGTGTTTTAAAGGCATTTGATTGTGTGGATCATGACAAATTATGGATAACATTGAGAAGAATGGGAATTCCCGAACACTTGATTGTACTCATGAGGAATCTGTACCTTGACCAGGAGGCTGTCATTCAAACAGAACAAGGGGACGCTACATGGTTTAAAATCAAGAAGGGAGTGCGTCAGGGTTGTATCCTTTCTCCACACTTATTCAATCTATATGCTGAGCAAATAATCCGAGAAGCTGGACTATATGAAGAAAAACGTGGTATCAGGATTGGAGGAAGAATCATTAACAACCTGAGATATGCAGACGATACAACTTTGCTTGCTGAAAGTGAGGATGACTTAAGGCACCTACTGATGAAGGTTGAAGAATACAGTCTGCAGTATGGATTACGTCTCAATATAAAGAAAACAAAAATCCTCACAACTGGACCAATGAGCAGCATCACAATAAATGGAGAGAAGATTGAGGTTGTCAAGGAATTCACGTTGCTTGGTTCTACAATCGATGCCAACGGAAGCAGCAGTCAGGACATTAGACGACGTGTAGCATTGGGGAAGTCAACTGCGAAGGAACTGTTTCAAGTGCTGAGGAGCAAGGATATCTCCTTGAGGACTAAGGTGCACAAGCCATGATATTTCCAATCGCCTGGTATGCATGTGAGAGCTGGACAATGAATAAGGAGGACCGAAGAAGAGTTGATGCTTTTGAGTTGTGGTGCGGCGAAGAATGCTGAAAGTACCATGGACTTCTAAAAGAACTAACAGATCTGTCCTGGAGGAAGTGCAGCCAGAATGCTCCTTGGAAGCGAGAATGGCCAGCCTTCGTCTCACCTATTTTGGTCATGTTGTAAGAAGGGACCATTCCCTGGAGAAGGATGTCATGCTTGGTAGGGTGGAGGGTTGACGAAAGAGGGGGAGGCCTTCAACGAGATGGATTGACACGGTGGCTGCGATGATGGGCTCAAGTATAGCAGGGATTGTGGGGCTGGCGCGGGATCGGGCAGTGTTTCGTTCTGCTGTGCACGGGGTCGCTATGAGTCGGAAACGACTCGACGGCACTTAACAACAACAACAATAATACTTTCGGAGCTCTGGTGGCATAGTGCCTAAGGGACCTGAGTGCTAACCAGAAGGCTGGCAGTTCAAACCCACCAGCCACTCTGTAGAAGGAAGATTGGGCAATCTGCTTCCAATAGTGATACCACCTCAGAAACCCAAGGAGGGGTCGCTATGAGTTGGATACAACTCCATGCCAGTGAGTTTGGGTTTGGTTTTTTTTAATAATACTTTGACTGATTAGATGTAGATATTATCCTTTTGCTGTGAGTGTTCCATGGATCATGCTTGCCTGGTGGAATAGAAGACTTCACAATGGTCTCATAGAGCAAAGTTTTGACAATATAATGCTCACCTTTCAGTGCAGAGAAACTATACCAGCATTCCGAAGTTTTCTGAAGAGGCATGATAAGACCATCATTACCAAAATGCTGAGGTAAGATCTGAAGGAGGGCTCCGCAGGGACACCCCAATACCGGGGCATTCCTTGCACTTCTCCTTGCCCTTCTCTGTGCCTCACACAGCCTGCCGGAGCTGCTTTTGTATCCCTCCCGAAGATTTGAAGAATATATTAATCTTCTCCATGCTCTGAGGCTTCACACTCCTGCAGACCATGTTGACCGTGGCGATCTGAGCATTGCAATTGACCAAATCGAACACTATAAAGGTTATATAGATCAGGTTGGTCGCTGATAAGAATCTGTGTCCTTTAAAAATGTTACAGTGCTTTTGTGGAACTTAGTTAAAGATCCCGAGATACCGTCTTCTCTTCTGCTGGTGGTCTGTCTTTCATCCTTTTCACACAAAATCAGACGTTGTGTTCAGTGATTCTGAGTACTAATGGTATTTCCTCTAAACAACATGTGACAGAAAGTTTTAAGACTTCTATACCATAAACCTTTATTTATATGGAAGTATGAAGAATAGGGTATTTGAATTAATTTTTCTGGATAACCAAGGGGGAGAAAAGGCAGTTTTTTTTTTTTTTAATTCTGAAAAGATTTGTATGTGTTTATTAGCTTTCCTGCCTTAGTAGGTACCCCGAACCTAGTGAGTCCCTTAGACAGAATTCAATATCTTGGGGTGCAGCACTCTCATCCAACTGCTAGCATGCCTGTGATGTGCATTATGGACGAGGTCTGGCCTGGATGCAAATGGATACCACATTGAATACAGTCGCATCACTTGTCTTTTTGTTTTTAAATATTGGGTACAGAAAATTGAGATTTTTATTAAAATTTAGGAAAATGCCAAGCCATATATCAAGTACCATAAAATATTTTAATCTGTTTCTTTCTGCATAAAAATTTCATGGCTTTTGTTTACCTAAAAATCACTTTGTTTTCTAGGTGAAGCAAAACCTCAATAGGAAAGACCAGCTGACAGACATACAGAGCGTCATCTGGGGGTGCCCTGTACGTATTTTGATGTGCTTGCTGACTCCCATGCTCATGAACATAACCTGAAGTCATTGGCAAAAGACACAGATTCAGATTCAGCTAATGTCTGCTCACTGCCTGCTGCGGGCTGGATGCCGCCAAGCTCTCACTATACACATGCTCCTTACCTGCAAAGATGTTGTACGGGGAGAGGCGCAAGTGGGCTTGACCTCGTCCCATCACTTCTCTGCTGTCTTAGTTCCATGCTAGCAGTCTCTGGTTAGTACAGACTGTTAATGCACTAGACAGCTAACTGAAAGGTTGATGGTGTGAGCATACATAGAAGCACCATGACAGAAAGGCCTGGTGATCTACTTCCGAAAAATCTGCCATTGAAAACCCCACGGAGCACTGTTCTACTCTGACACACAGGGCGTCACCATGAGTCATGGTCGACTCAGTGGTAACCGGTAGCTCCTTACTTGGTACCACTAGGATCATGCCTCCCTTTGAGGACAGGGGCTATATTTACTATTTATTTGCTCTCTGCACATAGGACCTGGTACAGGATTTTGCATACTAAAGATAACAGAAATTTTTTTCAGACATCTTCTGTTGGCTATCTGTTGCCAACAGAACACCATCTGGTCTCACTTTACCTATTAAGCCTTCTCTCTAACTGATTCCCCTACCACCTTATGTCCACACCACACAGATCTACTCACTATTCTCCAATGTTAGCCTCTCTTCACAACATTGTGCTCTGTACATGCTCTTCCTTCTCTCAAACTGCCTTCCTTTCCAACTCCATGTGATGAACTTTGTCCATCCTTAAAAACCCAGTTCAATTATCATCTTGTTTATAAAATTTCCTCCAAAATATCCAGGTGTGAGTTGCTCCTTCCCAGGTATTCTGCAGCATCCTGAATACCTGTTGTATTTTATTGCGATCATTCGTTCAGGAGACTGGGAGCTCCATCAGGAACAAGCTATACTTGACTTGTCTTCTATTTCCACATTGAACTCAGCGTCTGGAACATAGTAAGAGCTCAACAGATAGGAGGTATAGCGAATGAAAAGACCAATTGAAGATATTACTTTTATTTGGTCAAATTTAGGAAGCAGGATGGAGTTTTGTCATAATTTAGACCTGCATGTTTTAGTAGGGAAAGAGAACTAGAGTTAGTTGGATTGCCAAAAAAAAAAAAAAAAATCCAAATTTCTTGGCACTAACAGAGCCCACGGAACTTTCAGCTCACACCCCATCTCTGCATCACCGTCCATGCGACGCGGTGCTCTCCGCGGTCTGTATCAGCGCATTGGCCTGACTTTTTCATCTGTATGAACTTACTCACTTCCTTTTTTGATGGCTCCTCCTTACTCCCAGCACTGTTTTGTTTTTCCTATTAGGGATGCATTTATAAATAAAACAAGAATTTCAGTAGTTTTAAAAATTAGACAACATCCTCAAATAGTTTTCAATGTCAGTTCTATGATCTTTCTAAAGAATGAAACAATGAAAACATCCCCTTAACCAGTGAAAACATTCACTTTTTTATAACTGATCGGTATCTAGTCAACATTTCCATATACTGGGATATAAAATGATTCTGTAGTAGTGGGACTTTTCCTTGCTTTTTTAAACATTTATGTATGTTTCTCATTTTGTTTCTATCCCATAGACTCTAACAGAAGGAAACAGATATCTGATTAGGGTTCAAGATGTAGCTCAACTTCGCTGCATTGATGAGGAAATAATTTTCTCTTTAAGGTAAAAATCAGCATCTCTCCTAAGGCTGTGCTCTCCTTAAGAGTGGGTGACGGTCATATTCCTCTTGAATGCTGGCATCCAGTACAATGTCTGGCATATTGAAGGCTTACGATAAATGTTTATGTTGAACTAAAAATGTACACACCTACACTCCCACACACATATACACACACACACCTCTGAGATGATGTAAGGTTCTTTATTACCTTACTCTCATTTTATTGGGTAGAAGGGGAGAAAATAAATTCTCCAAAAACGAAAAACCAAACTCAAGGCCATTGAGTCGAATCTGACTTATAGCAAACCCTCCTTTGGTTTCCAAGGTGGTATCTCTAGGGAAGGAGATTATTGCCCAATTTTCCTTCCAAGGAGTGGCTGGTGGGTTTGAACTGCCAGCCTCTGGTTAGCAGTCAGATGCCTTAGACACTATACCACCAGGGTTCCCAAATTATCCCTACAGAAACTGAAATCCTGAAGGTTAGTTAGTTTCCTACTGAGGAAAAAACCCAAGTATTGTGGGATCTCACACCAGTGATCTGTTCAACTGTAAGCAATAAAGACCATTTCATTCTCAGACAGTTTTGAGGTCAGGATTAAAAATTACTCCACCATATGCAATTAGCAGTGCTCAGAGTGGTATAAGATGGAAAAGTATCAATTTCCATAAACTAGGATCTCCTCTGTCCTTTAAAACAAGGATGGGGAAACTTGTTCTATAACGAGTCAGATAGTAAATATTTTAGGTTTTATGGGCCAAATGATGTATGTGGCAATTACTAACTGCCATTGTAGCTCAAAAGCAGCTCCACAGTCCAGTGCATAAAAGAAATACATATTCATGAACACTGCAGTATACAAATGAATGAGCATGACTGTGTTCCAATAAAACTTTACAAAAACGGGTGGCACTGGGCCATAGTTTACTGATCCTTGCTTCAGAATACCATTTGTCAAATTACATTCTCAGTATTAATGGCAAAGACAATGACTCAACAAATAGCCACTAAATGGAGTGAAATTAATTTCCTTTAATTTAATTCCAATAGAGGAAATAACAATTGATTTTTCTATCATTTCAATGAATATTTCTATGACTATTTCCCAAAGGCACAGGGCAGGAGAGTAGGTGAAAGAAATCAGCCCCATCTCGCTTTCTACCTTGAATGAAAATCAAACCACACAACAGTGATCACTTTTCCCACAGTCACCATGTTTTGTTTTGTTTATTCATTAGCACTAGGGAAAAAGCTACAATGATGGAGGGAAACCTGATGCCATCAAGTTGATTCTGATTCATAGCGACCCTGTAAACTAGCTACCAAACCAGCAATTCCAAACACACTGGTGTGTAGGAGAGGTGCTAGGGATTGCTCTGGTTTTTATTATTCGATTCAGACTTCTGTCTTCAGCATTTGGACAACAAATGAGAGGATATTTGGGCCTTTGAGGATAATGAAGGAACACTAAATTGTCTTACACTTTGCTTATGAGGTCCATTTTTCTTTAAATAGACACTTTATCAATGTTTTCCAAGCAATACATATCAATGCAATTTTATATTCGTATTTGAAATTAAGTAAATGCAAAACAGATTCATATTCCAGAAGGTATCACATACAATACATAGCTTGCAACTTTGTTTACTGTTGTTTTAGAAAAACACATGGTATCCAAGAAATGACATTCCTATCATTTCCATCAGGAACTTCTACCTAGAAACCTGCTCTTCTTATGCATAAAGTACAGAGTCACATGAGGAATGCTTTACTGTTTACCCTATATTTTAACTCCTCTCATTTAAAGTAATCATTACAGTCACTTGATGAGGCAGGTACAGGAGCCATATTATTATAGATGAGGAATCTGGGCTGAAGTAAGTTGCCTGAAGTCATAGAACTAAATGTTGTGTGCCATTGAGTCCATTCTGACTTATAGTGACCATATAGAACAGAGTAGAACTGCCCTATATGGTTTCCACCACTTATCTGTTAGTTTGTTGTACTGTGGTGGCTTGCGTGTTGCTGTGAGGCTGGAGGATGTGCCATTGGTGTTTCAAATACCAGCAAGGTCACCCATGGTGGAAAGGTTTCAGCCAAACTTCCAGACTAAGACAGATTAAGAAGAAGGAAGGGGCTATCCACTTTTCAAAGAATCAGCCAGTGAAAACCTTATGAATAGTAGTGAAACACTGTCTGATATATTACTGGAAAACTTTATGAATAGCCTTGAACCACTGTCTGATCCAGTGCCAGAAGATGAGCCCCTCAGGTCAGAAGGCACTCAAAATACGACTGGGGAAGAGCTGCCTCCTCAAAGTAGAGTAGACCTTAATGACGTGGACGGAGTATAGCTTTTGGGACCTCCATTTGCTGATGTGGCACAATTCAAAATGGGAAGAAACAGCTGCAAACATCTATTAATAATCAGAACATGGAAGATATGAAGTACGAATGTAGGAAAATTGGAAGTTGTCAAAAATGAAATAGAACTCATGAAGATCAATATTGTAGGCATTAGTGAGCTGAAATGGACTGGTTTTGGCCATTTTGAATCAGACAATCATATGATCTACTATGCTGGGAATGACAAATTGAAGAGGAATGGTGTGGCATTCGTCATCACAAAAAGTGCTTCAAGATTTATCTAGAAGTACAATTCTGTCAGTGATGGGATAATATCCATATGCCTACAAGGAAGACCAGTTAATACTACTATTAAAATGGCTGCTATACACGTGGACCTCACCAGATGGAATACATAAGAATCAGATCTACTACATCTGCGGAAGGAAGTGACAGAGAAGTTCAATATCTTAAGCCAAAACAAGGCCAGGAGCTGACTGTGGAACAGACCATCAAATGCTCATATGCAAGTTCAAATTGAAGCTGAAGAAAATTAAACCAAAAAGAAGAATTTAAAACAAGCTGAAGAAAAATTAAAACAAGTCACAAGAGCCAAATTATGACCTTGATTATATCCCACCTGGATTTAGGGACCATCTAAACAATAGATTTGACTTATTGAACACCAATGACTGAAAACCAGATGAATTGTGGGATGGCACCAAGAACATCATACATGAAGAAAGCAAAAGGTCATTGAAAAGACAGGAAAGAAGAAAAGACCAAAATGAATGTCAGAAGAATGTCAGAAGAGACCCAAACTTGCTCTTGAACGGAGAGTAGCTAAAGCAAATGGAAGAAATGACAAGATAAAAGAACTGAAGATTTCAAAGAGCAGCTGGAGATGCTAAAGTCAATTATTATAATGAAATGTGCAAAGACTTGGAGTTAGAAAATCAAAAGGGAAGGACACACTCAGCATTTCTCAAGCTGAAAGAACTGAAGAAGAAAGCCCCGAGTTGCAATATGGAAGGATTCTAGGGGCAAAATATTGAATGATGCAGGAAGCATCAAAAGAAGTTGGATGGAATACAGAATCACTGTACAAAAAAGAATTGGTTCATGTTCAGATATTTCAGGAGGTGGCATATGATCAAGAACCAATGGTATTGAAGGAAGAAGTTGAAGCTGCACTGAAGGAATTGGCAAAAAACAAGGCTCCAGGAATTGGCAAAAAACAAGGCTCAATATGGAATACCCATTGAGATGTTTCAACAAATGGGTGCCATGCTGGTGGCACTTACTTGTCTCTACCAAGAAATTTGGAAGACATCTACCTAACCAACTGACTGGAAGAGATTTGTACTTGTACCCATTCCAAAGAAAGGTGATCAAACAGAATGTGAAAATTATTGAACAATATCATTAATATCACATGCAGGTTAAATTTAACTGAAGATAATTCAAAACTGGTTGAAGCAGTATCTTGACAGGGAACTTTCAGAAATGAAAGCTGGTTTCAGAAGAGGATGTGGAACAAGGGATATCATTGCTTCAGCCAGATGGACCTTGGCTGAAAGCAAAGAATACCAGAAAGATGTTTACTTGTGTTTTATTGACTATGCAAAAGCATTTGACTGTGTGGATCATAACAAATTATGGATAACTGGGATGTAGAACGGTATCTCTGAACTATGTTATGCCAGTTGACTAAGGTGTCACGCCCCAAGACTATGGTCCTAAGCCTTTTAACCCAGTCAGTGAATCTTGTGAGTCGTTTGGATATGTCCAGGAAACCTCCATAACTCTGCCTCCAATGTGCTTCGTTGCTGGTAGGTGCCATCAGACAGTTCTGACTCATAGCAACCCTATGTGCAACAGAATACTGTCTGGCCTGTGCCATCCTCACAATTATTGCTATGTTTGATCCATGTTGCAGCCACTATGTCAATTCATCTCACTGAGCATATTGTTACTCATTGACCTTCTACTACATTGTACTACCAAGCATGATGTCCTTCTCCAGGGACTGGTCCTTCCTGATAACATGTCCAATGTATCTCAGATAAAGTCTTGCCATCCTCGCTTCTAAGGAACATTCTGGCTGTCCTTCCAAGGTAGATTTTTTTTTTTTTTTTCTGGCAGTCCATGGCAACATTCAATATTCTTTGCCAATATCATAATTCCAATGCATCAATTCTTCTTTAGTCTTTCTCGTTCATTGTCACGTTTTTATATGCATATGAGGGGATTGAAAATGCCATGGCTTAGGTCAGGTGCACCTTAGTCCTCAAAGTGACATCTTTGCTTTTTAACATATTAAAGGTGTCTTGTGTAGCAGATTTTCCCAGTGCAATATGTCGTTTGATTTCTTGACTGCTGCTTCCAAGGACATTGATGGTCGATCTAGGTAAAATGCAATCTTCGACAACTTCAGTATTTCTTCAATTATCCTGATGTTGCTTATTGGTCAAGTTGTGAGGAGTTAAATTTTCTTTATGTTGAAGTGTAATCCATACTGAAGGCTATAATCTTTGATCTTCATCAATAAGTGTTTCAAGTCCTCTTCACTTTCAGCAAGTAAGGTTGTGTCATCTGTATATTGCTGATTGT